CAAGGCCTGCTAGGAGAAGATCCCCCAAGTGGATTCAAGACCCCTTCTAGGGAAGATCCATCTAGGATTCGAGACCTCAACTCCTTCAGGATTGTGATGAACTAGCTACCCTCTGTATCCTCTTGTGTTGACTTGGATCGTGTGTATCTCATTATGTGTATGTGGATCTAGCATATGTGTGATTAGATCTTGTCTATTTGAGCGTTTTCTCTCGTCTTTCCCTCTTGTGTTTTTCATGTTCTTCGCGGGATCCCCTCCAATCGTGAAAGATTGGCCCTCTAGCGTTCCACCCTACCTCATAGTGCTTACCAAGCTAGCATACCCACAACGGGTCGAATCCTTAGGTCCTGACAGCCAGACCTGCCCGACTCAGATGGGGAGGAGGCGGGAGGCGACGAGGAAGAGGGCGGAGCCGGCGTGCGCCTTGAAGACGCCGAAACCAGCGAGTCCAGCCACGCCAGTAAGTCTCTGACTCCTGACCCCTTGTGCGAGTGGACGGACGACGATGAAGATACCCTGGGCGGTGCCGATGGTGCAGCGCCACCACCAGGAGGGCAGATGCCAGCGTCGCACCTCGAAGGCGACTGCAGAAAACGATCGGAGCCGGGCCGTCTAGCGAGCCGGTGGCCGGCTGAGAAGCGCCTGGCCATGATGCAACCGGGAGGCGGAAGGAGGGTCATCAAGAAGGCGCGCCGGCTTGCCCCATCGGTGGGCCCGAGACGGACGATTCCCGCGGTTGTCGGGTTAGTAATTTTCCCTGCTTATCCTTTGCTTATCGCACTTGTTCTTTTTTTGTGTTGTTGTTTTCCTTTTCTCTTTACGTCCTCCGCGTGCCGTTCAGGGCCACCCTTGAGCTATCAGAGGCAGCTGCCTCGGTCGCGCCCGGAGACGAAGCCGGACGACAGAAACCTGGAGCAGCGCGGGCGAGCGCGAAGCGGCCCGGAGCATCGAGGAAGAGCTCGTGGCCCGGCAAACCAGCGCAGAGCTTGAGGAGGAAGAGCGCGCCGCGTGGAGGGATCGGGCGGAGGCCGAGCAGGAGATGGCAGAGGCCTCGGCTGAGGCGTGGACGGGCGCCCTGGGGACACAAGGGAGGACCGCCGAGGACCCCACGTGGCCGGCTTGGAGGACAAACTCGTCGCCGCAGTCGCCGGCTCAGGAGCATCGCTCGAAGTCGGTGCATGATCCGTTTTGCCGGGCAGAGGCCGATGCCCGAGCCGCTGCCGACGTAGCCGGTTGTGGCGAGATGGGCGACCATGAGCCGAAGGCCGACCAGACCATCACCACGGAGTCGCCACCAGCTGTCGATCCAGCCGATGAGACCGAGCACGGAGATGAAGGGGACCGCAGGAGACCGCGCCGACCGGTGGAGGGGTGTAGCCGCCGAGCACGGAGGCCGCACCCGGGGCTTCTGGCACCATGGTTGTCACCAGGCCACAAACCACCGGGCGCATTGAGCCGAGGCCGGCTGGAAGCGGGACTAGCGCCCGGTCCGCGACTCAGATGCAGCGGACCTGGGAGGGTTCCGGCGAGGCCATGAGCAGGTCGCGCACCAGCGAACTGGGTGTGGCGATAGATGCCATGCGTCTGTAGTTTGCCGACAACCGCATTCGCCTGCAGAACTACGTTTAGGCAGAGCAGGAACGGATGCAGCAGCTGGAGTGGACCATAGAGGTAAGTCCTTTTACCTTCTGCTTTTTCTGTAGCTTGCTTTTCTTCTTCTTGACCGCCTTGGTCGCTCTCCAGTGGGGGCGCGCCAACGCATCCATTGGGTGTGGCGCCCGAGGCCTGGGCCGGCCGCGCAGCAGTCAGGCCTTCACATGCGTTTTTCTTTTCTTAACCGTCTTTCTTGCAGACCTTTTATGACCTGAGGGTGGCGGCCTACAACCGCCTTCTAGGTCGGTACCGTGAGGCCAGGACCCAGCTCATCACCAAGGAGGAGGAGCTGCGCCAAGCTCAAGGTACGGCTCGCATGCTTCCAATGGGGGCGCGTCAGCGCACTCACTTGGTGTAGCCTCCGAGATTCGGGTCGGCTGCACAGCAGCTGGGTCGAATATTCTTGATTTTCTTCGTCTTTGCTTTCTTTTGTCTTGTCCGGGTACTGACTGGGAACCTCGTCACGTAGGTGCTGCAGCTGAAGCACCGGATCTCCAGAGCCGGCTAGACCAGGCCGGCTGAGAGCGCGACTAGACCGTGGCGGACCGTGACCGGCTTCAGGCAGAGGTGGGCCGACTGGCGGCGGAGCGGGACCAGACGGCGACCGCCCATCAAGCCAAGCTGGACCGGCTTGCGTAGGAGCACCGCAAGGCGACAACCCATAAGGATGAGCAGGTGGCCACAACCGCCAAGAAGGTTGCCCAGCTCAAGGAGGACCACAACTGCCACGCCAACACGTGGTTGCTGAAGGAACATCGAGTGCTGGCGGAGGTGCAGCACATCGACGAGTTGCTCACCCGTAAGTGTTTTGTTTTACTTCTTTGTCTTTCCGAGTCCGGCTGGCGTGGTGGCTTGGGGCCGGTGCGGCATGGCTTATCAGCTTCGTGTTGTCTTGGTATCCGAGCGTCGATCTAGGCCGGTTGTCCGCCCGGCGAGCCGGGGCGGAAGACGACCTAGCACGGTTGGCAACGCCGATCGCCACGCGAGCCAACTACATTGTGTCGTTCACGCCCCCATGACAGTTCATCTCAGAACGGGCGGAATACGGCACGGAGCTCCCTGCCGACAACTTCGGCCTGGTGCTTGAGGACCCGGTGGGCTGCTCGGCCGAGACAGGGTCCGAGGGGGACGTCGATGTAGCCGCCATGGACGACACCGACGCCTTAGAGGAGCCGGCGCGGACTGATGCCGCCGCGGCCATCGCGTAGAGCTTTTAGCTTTTCCTATATTTTGTTCTTATGCTTGAACTTTTGATTATTTGGCAAGTCCACCCACTAGGTGTAAGTTTATGTAATGAACTTTTTGGCCGTGAGGTTGTAGATAAATGCATGTGCTTTCGATCCGTGACTATTTCCTATCGGCTGGCGGCTTGCTTTTGCTTTTCACCTTAGGCCACTTTTCTTGTTCATTTCCTCCTTCGACTTTCTCCCCGCCAGTCGGACAGTCGGGAGTCGGTCTATGGCTGGGAAGGGGAATTGGACTTGAAAGAAGACTTACATACTTGGGCTTTTTAGGTCTTGAGCGCAAGCGAAACACCCACGGGGTTGGCTGGCTGTGATGACCCACAAGTATAGGGGATCAATCATAGTCTTTTTGGTAAGTAAGACCGTCGAACCCAACGAGGAGTAGAAGGAAATGACAAGCGATTTTTAGCAAGATATTTTCTGCAAGCACTGAAATTATCGGTGACAGATAGTTTGATAGCAAAGTTAATTTGTAATGAGCGAAAAATAGCAATAGTAACAAAGTTGCATCAAGGTAGCCCAATCCTTTTTATAGCAAAGGACAGGCTGAAACTTTCTCTTGTAGCAAGTAAAGCGCTCTTGAGGACACACCGGAATTTCATCTAGTCACTTTCACCATGTTTGTTCGATTCGCGATCGCTACTTTGATAATTTAATATGCTGGTGGACCGGTGCTTGGGTGCTGTTCTTACTTGAACAAGCCTCCCACTTATGATTACCCCTCTCGCAAGCACCCACAACTACGAAAGAAGAATTAAGATAAATCTAACCATAGCATGAAACATATGGATCCAAATCAGCCCCTTACGAAGCAACACATCATCTAATTACTACTCCATAATACCTTTTCTTAGACCCAAAGATGGTGAAGTGCCATGCAGTCGACGTTCACATAACACCACTAGGAAGCAACAATATACATATCATCAAAATATCGAACGAATACCGAATTCACATGATTACTTATGACGAGACTTCTTCCATGTCCTCAAGAACGAATACAGAATTTACATGATTACTTATGACGAGACTTCTTCCATGTTCTCAAGAACTACAGTACTACTCACAAATCATATTCATGCTCAAGACCAGAGGGATATTGAATATCATTAAGTATCTGAACATATAATCTTTCACCAAATAAACCAACTAGCATCAACTACAAGATATAATCAACACTATTAGCAACACATAGGTACCAATCTGAGGTTTTGACACAAAGATTGACTACAAGAGATGAACTAGGGTTTAAGATGAAAAGGTGCTGGTGAAGACGTAGATGAAAGTTTGGTGAAGACGTAGATGAAAGTTTCCCCGGCAGAATCGCTCTGGAGATCAAAAGTGTCTCTGCCCAGATTCCGCCAAGAGACGACGGTGCTTCGTTTCGAAAGTCCTCTGCTTATTTTTTTAGAGCAAATGGCCTTATATACCAGAAAATGGACACCAGAGGCTGACCAGGAGCCCCACGAGCGGGTGGGCGCGCCCTGGTGCCTCATGGGCATGCCCTCGGTGGCCCCCTTTAGTATTTCTTTCTTCCCACCACACATGCTACATGGCCGAAGGCCAACACACATCTTAACCCGGCTCATCTGCTCCCGGTGAACAGAAAAATCATAAAAACTTTTACACGCAGCAGAAGTACAGCAGAACAATTATTAGCCTCTATTTCTCTTGTATTAGAAGGGGAGCCTTGGCGCAGTGGTAAAGCTGCTGCCTTGTGACCATGAGGTCACGGGTTCAAGTCCTGGAAACAGCCTCTTACAGAAATGTAGGGAAAGGCTGCGTACTATAGACTCAAAGTGGTCGGACCCTTCCCCGGACCCTGCGCAAGCGGGAGCTACATGCACCGGGCTGCCCTTTTTTTCTTCTCTTGTATTAATTGCCTTTCGTGTTCTTGTTACAAACTTTTACACGCAGCAGAATTACAGCAGAACAAGTGTCCCATGCATTGTATATCCGGTGTGCACTCTACTAAACATACTCCCAACGTCCCAAAATTCTTGTCTTAGATTTATTTGTCTACATACGGATGTATCTATTCGATATGTAGACAAATCTAAGACAAGAATTTTGGGATGGAGGGAGTACCTAATAATGCTCTTATCATCTTTTGATCTCCCTTGAGATGTAAATGCCACTACTTTTAGATGATGGCGTTGGTAGGCTGAAGGTTGTTTGTTTGGGAGCAAATGCTTTAGTATCCCCGCTTCTGCTAATTTCAAGCCCACATATTCTACAGAGATCTTCCAGCTCCAACTCCTAAAGAAAGGCAATAAGTTTCAATGTCAGTTCATGGTAGGAGTACATCTTTAGTGTTTTGCTAAATGTTCAGCTGCACGGCATAAAAAAAAATCAGCTGCAGTAATAAATTGGATATTCCAGCTTAATACCTCAATCATCAGGATATCTGACAAATGTGTCAAAGGATGGTGCTGAAGTTTGTAGCCGCTATGGTTGAGGTACATTAATGCTCTAGCACGGACCTTCAGCAGCAAACCAGGATAAATACAAGTTGATATGTCACAACCAGGCATGTACCGATATGTCGGCTTGTGAACAAGGCAATATGCAGCACCCATTTCCGTTTATACACAAGGAATATCATATATAAACAAATCGATAAACAAGGCAATATGGAGGTGGTGCACCCATGTACATTTGCTTTTCCTTAATTAGAAACATCTAATTGCAGAAACACACATCATGCTATAACATCAGCACATACAAACAATCATGCAAAAGTATGACCAAGTAAACCCGCACCATTTTTCTACAGATCCAGAATTTTAACATGGTGCACATTGATAAATCATCACTTATCAATCATGAGCTTTCAGGAAAGTTTGGGGGAGACTTGTGTGAGATTTCACATTAGGTGAGATCTATGCGATCGATTTTTTTTTTGGAAAAAAAATACATGTCCAAACATTCTCAAATTTTTTGTAGACACGCATCAATGTTTGATATACTATACAACCTTAAAAAGTTTGTAGCTCATGATTCAACTTACATTAATAGAAGTAAAAAGACAAAATCGGATGTGAATAGTGTCAAAGTCTATTCACCCAAAGCTGCTACTATTCACATTCGAATTTGTCTTTTTTGAATCCTTAAAATGTACATTGAGTTTTGAGCTGATTTTTTCCGAAGCTTTAAACATCCCCACATGGACATTGTCAAATAATTCCAGATTTTTTTTGAAATGTCTAAATATGATTATTTTTTTAGGTTGATTTCACGATCTCACCTCATACAAGTCTCCCCCAGTAAAGTTTGGGGAGAACCCCTGCATTATCTCCCAAGGCGGCTCCGGTGGGAACCTACTCATGCGGAGCCCTGAAGCAGCACAAAGGTTGTGGAGGAGCAACTCCTTGTGTACAGCACAAGTGTTGAAGGAACAGCTTCAACGTGCTGCGCTAGATATCGCTCTAGAGGCGAATGTAGGCTGATAGGGCAGCAAGAGTTCAATCCAGAACTCCTAGGGCACAAGATCTACTCCAAGATCTTAGATAAGAACAACAAGTTCTATTATAGGTAGGGGTACATAGTCTGGGTCCAAAGTAGAGGTGAGGACCTCTATTTATAGGGCTTTGGGAAGCCTTCACATACTTCTACTTATAGCTGGAATATTCTAGAAAACATTATGTGAGTTTCACCATTCTACTCATAGCTACTCACAACTAGAAGACTCTAGAAAACAGTAGGTAGGATAGAAAAGAAAAGGAAAGAAATACTACACTAGAGTGGAAGCATCTAGAAGTAGCCAAACAAAATACTACACTAGAGTGGAAGCATCTAGAAGTAGCCAAACAAATCTGGCATGTGTTTTTTCTTTCTTCTCATCTAGTGTTCCTCATCATTCTCCCCTGGTTGTTTGGAACTCACCCTCGAGTTATCTTCATAGAGCGCTTCTTCTGGATGGTAGAGAGTCAAGTCCGCAACACTGAAAGTGTTGGAGATACCCATGTCACTTGGAAGATCTATCACATAAGCATTATCATTTATCTTCCTCACGATAGAGAAGGGCCCATACCTTCACTGCCTAAGTTTCCCTTTAACACCTAAAGGCAGCCTCTCTTTTCGGAGGTAGACCATCACCTTATCACCGACTTGGAATGATTTTGGCCTCTTTTTGCAATCAACAAGTTGTTTATGTTTCTGATTTTGTGCTTCCAAAGTGCCGCGAATCTCTTCAAATAACTCAGTGTAATTATCAGCAAAGGACAATGCTGATTTCGAGTTTCCCCTTGATGGCAGCTTCACCAGGTCCACCATATGCGTTGGAACTTTAGTGTAGACAATGGAAAAATGGCTCCTTCCTGTGGATCTATGCTTGGAGTTATTGTAGGAGAACTCTGCAAGAGATAAAGCCAAATCCCATTGCCCCTTTCTTTCTCCACAAATGCAACGCATCAGATTACCCAAAAACTTGTTCACCACTTCCGTTTGTCCATCTGTTTGTGGATGAGCAGTGCTAGAAAATTTCAATTCAGTGTTGAATTGCTTCCACAAAGTGAGCAAAATGCAGCAAGAAACTTGCTATCACGGTCTGAGACAATGGACCTTGGAACTCCATGAAGTCTGACCACTTCTCGAAAGAATAGGTTTGACACATGATGAGCATCCGTTGTCTTGCGACATGGGATGAAATGAGCCATCTTAGAGAATCTATCCACGACCACAAATACAGCATCACTTCCTCGTCTTGTTTTTGGCAAGCCCAAGACGAAGTCCATAGAAATGTCCTCCCATGGAGCAACAGGAACAGGCAAAGGCATGTATAACCCTGTGTTCTGGACTTGGCCTTTGCAGGTCTAACATACGGGGCACCGTTGAACGAACTTTCCAACATCTCTCTTTAGTTGTGGACAAAAGTAGCGAGCTTCCAGGATAGCGATAGTCTTGTCCCGTCCAACATGGCCACTAAGATCACTTGAATGGAGCTCTCTAACCAGCTTGTCACACAGAGAACTTCTTGGAATGCACAAACGATCATTTTTGAAGAGATATCCATCTTGCATCAAATAGTCATCACCTAATGGTTGGCCCCTTGCGTGCTTTACCCAAACATGGCCAAAGTCTTCGTCACCCTCATACAACTCCTTTATTTGATCCATGCCCGGAAGTTCAGCTTCAAAAGAAGTCAAGAGGCATGCACGACGACTCAAAGCATCGGCCACTCTGTTAGTTATTCCAGATTTATGCACGATAAGATAGTTAAACCTCTCCAGATATGCTGTCCATCTTGCTAGCATGCGGTCAACATGCTTTTGATTTCTAAAATGCTTCAAGGATTGATGGTCGCTATAAACAATGAACTCTTTAGGCAGCAAATAGACTTCCCAAGTTTTCAACACTCTGAAAATGGCGTATAATTCTTGCTGATAGGTACTTCATTTCTGTCTAGCTTCACTTAACTTCTCACTAAAGAAAGCAATGGGCATCCTTTCTTGAGATAGGACAGCTCCAATGCCTACTCCACTTGCATCACACTCCAACTCAAAAGTCTTGTTGAAATCAGGTAGTAGCAAGACAGGAGCTTGTGATAGCTTTTGTTTAATCTCATTGAAGCTAGCTTCAGCTGCTTCTGCCCATTGGAACTTTCCTTTCTTCAAACACTAGGTAATTGGTGCCATGATAGTGCTGAAATTCTTAACAAATCGCCTATAGAAAGTTGCAAAGCCATGAAAGCTTCTTACCCCAGAAATGGTCTTAGGAGTTGGCCATTCTCGGATTGCTTCAACCTTAGAATCATCAACACGAATGCCGTCACATGTTATCACGAATCCTAGGAAAAGAAGTTGTGTTTGCAGGAAAACACATTTCTTCAAGTTGACGTAGAGCTCATTTTCCTTGGTACTTCTAGCACCTTCCGAATGTGATCAAAGTGTTCATCCTCATCCTTGCTATAAATCAAGATGTCATCGAAATAGACCACAACAAAGTGGGATAAGAAGGGTCTAAGGACTTGATTCATTAAGTGCATAAAGGTACTTGATGCATTTGAGAGTCCAAATGGCATGACTAGCCATTCAAACAACCCTTCCTTTGTCTTGAAGGCGGTGTTTCATTCACCCCCGGGTCTTATACAGATTTGATGATACCCACTTCTTAAATCTAGCTTTGTGAACACTCTTGCTCCACTAAGCTGATCCAACATATCATCCAGACGGGGAATAGGGAATCTATACCTTACGGTGATCTTGTTAACAGCTCTACTGTCCGTACACATGCGCCAAGATCCATCTTTCTTTGACGCGAGTAGGGCTGGTACAACACATGGGCTAATACTTTCTTGAATGTGCCCCTTTTGCAACAATTCTTCCACTTTCTCCTTCAATATATCATGCTCCTTTGGGATCATTCGATAGTGTGGAAGATTAGGAAGACTTGCTCCTGGAATTAAGTCAATTCTGTGCTGAATTCCTCTCATCGGTGGCAAGCCATGTGGCTCCCCAAGTATGTTCTAAAATTCTGCCAATAAACCACGTACCTTTGCTGGAATTTCAACAGTCAGGTGCTCTTCTCCCTTTACAACAAGTGCAGCACACAAATCTGCCTCCTTCAAGTCTTCCATAAACTCATGAGAGGTATGGGAGATAGTTAACATAGTTTTCCCCTCCTCCTTAGAGGTATTACCTTCGGTTTTGTTTGGTAAGATAATGATCTTTCTCTTGTTCCAAATGAAAGAATAAGAATTTTCCTTGCCCTTGTGTGTAGTATCCACATCAAATTGCCAAGGCCTCCCAAGAAGAACATGGCTGGCATCCATGTCAACCACATCACACAACACATTTGAGCGATAATGCTTACCCAAAGAAAGTGGCAGGTTGCATTGTTTGGTGATCCTCATATTCACTCCTTTCTTGATCCATCCAATAGTGTAGGGATTTGGATGATCATGGTTTCAAGCTTTAAATGGTCCACCAACTTCTGAGATATAAGATTCTCGCAGCTGCAACTATCAATCACTAGTTTGCATATCTTGCCATTCACCGTGCATTTGCTCTCAAATATTTTCTTCCGTTGTGTGTCGTCGAATTGTGGTGTGGAACATAGGACACGCTAGATCACACATACCACCTCTTCACCTTCTTCTTGACAAACCTCTTGTCCGTCTACATCTTCAGATTCGTATTCTTCCTCATCGCTTTCACCATCATGGATAGTCGTGTTAACAAATTTTCTTAGTGGGCAACCGCTGGATATGTGTCCCTCTTTACCACATTTATAGCACTTTGGGGCTTCATTTGCCTTACCCTTGCCTCTAGTTTGCTTCGAGATGGGCTGTTTTGTCTTTGGTGGAGTGGTCTTTTCTTCCACTATTAGGTTGGCTCCTAGATGAGCCTTCGGTATGAGGATATGGAGGATATGGAGCCTTAGTTGTCTTTCTCATCCTCACAAACCTCTCGGCCTTTAAGGCTAGAGCTTGTGCTTGATCAACGGACCAGATTTGTTGCATCATCAATCGATCTTGAATAGCATCATTGAGACCATTGATGTACCTTGCAACTTGTTGCTCTTCAGTTTCAACAAGGTTGCACCTCACTTGTAGCCTTAGAAACTCCTCCGTGTAATCTGAAAGAGTCCTATTTCCTTGAGCACAATTTTGAAATTGGATAAATAGGATCTGGTCATAATCAGCGGGCAAAAATCTTCCTTTCAAGAGGCCTTTCATTTGTCGCCAAGTTCTAACACGAGGTTCTCTCAGCCTGCGCTCCTCTTGAACGCGATGCTACCATGCACCAGCTCCTCCTTTCAGCTTGTATGCGACCAAAGGAACTCTACGATCGTCCGGAACCTCCATGACCTCAAAGAAAGTCTCCACTTCATATAACCAATCCAGGCACCCTTCAATGTCAACATTTCCATTAAAACTTGGGATCTCAGCTTTCACCTTGTATGTATCTCTTGCATATGTAGGGTTGGGTGCTCTTCGATATGCGTAGAGATTTGGTTCTTCAAGGGCATCATCATATTCTTCACCTTCAGAAGCCTCAACATAAATTGGCCTTCTTGAAGCACATTGAACAACATGTTGTCGTGGCGGTCTTGCTCCAAGATTACCTCTCCTTCTTCCTTGATGAACATCTTCCTCTTCTTTAGATGAATCTCCTTCATTGGTAGCAGGGGGGACACCCTTTCTTATCATCTCAACCAGCTGGTCAAATCTCCTATTAAGATCTTCACGCAGCTCTTTGATTTGTTGTTCAGCAGCATCCATCCTCTTCTCCAATTGCTCCATTGCTTGCTGCAACTTGCTCTCGAAGAGGACAGCAAGAACGATTATGGGTCAACGAGGCTCTGATGCCACCTGAAGCAGCACAAAGATTGTGGAGCGACTCCACCTTGTTGCTACTATGTGTACAGCACAAGTGTTGAAGGAACAGCTTCAACGTGCTGCGCTAGATATCGCTCTAGAGGCGAATGTAGGCTGATAGGGCAGCAAGAGTTCAATCCAGAACTCCTAGGGCACAAGATCTACTCCAAGATCTTAGATAAGAACAACAAGTTCTATTATAGGTAGGGGTACATAGTCTGGGTCCAAAGTAGAGGTGAGGACCTCTATTTATAGGGCTTTGGGAAGCCTTCACATACTTCTACTTATAGCTGGAATACTCTAGAAAACATTATGTGAGTTTCACCATTCTACTCATAGCTACACAACTAGAAGACTCTAGAAAACAGTAGGTAGGATAGAAAAGAAAAGGAAAGAAATACTACACTAGAGTGGAAGCATCTAGAAGTAGCCAAACAGATCTGGCATGTGTTTTCTTTCTTCTCATCTAGTGTTCCTCATCAAGCACCCTACGGTCAGCCCCATGGACACTACACCAACTCTCCAAGCACCAAGTGGACCGATGACAAGAGCACGTGCAAGAGCTATCGAGAACGAGGTGAGTTCTCTCGTTAGTGATTTCCACTTCGATGCACTTGGGATGTGGCTACTACCTCAAGCAGAAACACTTTGCATGCTCAGGTACCAAGGAAACAGCCATGGAGAAGCTATGGACCAAGGCCAAGCATTGACGGAAGCGGAACGCGAAGAAGAAGAACAAGTTAGGGTAAATCCTGCAATGCCTGGATGTCCGAACTCCTTCCCGGATGATCCGGCCGATCCGGACTTCTGTCTGCATCAGCCGGAGGCACCCAAAGGCCGGGCCGAAGCCGGATCATCCGGGAACCTGCCCGGATCATCTGGATCATCCAGGAACATCCCGGACGTCCGGCCTCCCGTCTGCGGCTACAACCCTGCCGGATCATCCGGGTACCTACCCGGATCGTCCGGCCTTGCCTGCGTGCAATTCGGCCCAAGTGGCCACGTATCCCTTTCTTACCCCTCTATCTCGTCCTAGACTATAAATAGACGGCCCCTCCTCTCTAGTAGGGTTAGCAAAGCATATTATTAGATCTTGAGAGAGCTTTGCTCATCTATTACTCCTCTTGGAGATCAAGACCTCCTAGGAGAAGATACCCAAGTGGACATCAAGGCCTCGTCCCCTAGGGATTGGAGAAGACTACCTCTCAAGGCCTCAATCGCTCTAGGGATTGGGACGAACTAGCTTTTGCTATTTCCTCTAGTTGACTTTGGATCCACCTACCCACCACCATTGTGGCCCCCCTCCTTCCCTCGCCACCGCTGGGCGAAACCCGCTAGCGGCTGGCGGCAGCGGGACTAGCTTCTTCATGCGTGGGGGGCCCTGTAGCGCACATATCTCGCGATCGAGGGCGGCGGTTGTCCAACTTGGCAGGCTCTCGCAGCACAGCACGCGACCTTGGCAGCGTTCCGGCACTTGCAACGGTGTGCTGCGCGCAACAGCTGGACGATGTGGTGATGATGTGTCATCACCCACGACGCACGGGCTGCGCCCCTGCGGCATGGTCGTCCCTCTACGGCGACGAGGTGCTTGCTGCTGCTGGCTGCTACATGGAGCAGGCAGTGGTGCCGGGCTCGGCCAGTGATGGTGCGGGGCACAAGCGTCTGGCCCAGATCTGGCTAGGCAACGGCGGGGGACGGTTGGATCCGGTTGCGGCGTCTGTGAATTTTTACAAGCAAGCTGTGGCACCAACTATTCAAACCCCTCAAGATCAAGCTACACTTAAGTACCAACTACCACCCCCAGTCTGATGACCAAACTAAAAGAGTCAATCAATGTTTGGAGAGTTATTTAAGGTGCATGTGCTTCCAACAACCAAAGAAATGGCACAGCTGTCTTGCTCTGGCTGAGTGGTGGTACAATAATAGTTTTCACACATCACTACAAATGACACCATTCCAAGCCCTATATGCATTCCCTCCACCAACGATTGCAGAGTCAGCCCTCCTTGACTCCATAGGTGCAGACAGTGACAATTTGCTACAAAACAATGAACTAGCACTAGGAGCGATCAAGGAGAACATGTTGAAAGCTCAAGCTACATTCTAAATTCTATGGTCCTGAGAAAGTTGGCAACACCTCTTACAAGCTCTTGCTCCCTGAAGGGTGTCAACTTCATCACACCTTTCATGTCAGTCAGCTCAAGAAGCATATAGGACCTCAGGTCATTCTAACTAAACATCTACCATTGGTTGATGAGAATGGACTTATCAAAATGGAGCCTGAAGCAGTTCTAGAGAGGAAATTAATTCAGTATTCTTGTGGTGCATTGGCTGATCAAGTGGGTGAATATGCCAGTGGAGGCAGCTACCTAGGAGGATTCAGCTTTTATCCAGAAAGTATTCCCTTCTTTTCAAGCTTGAGGACAAGCTCAGTCTCATTTGGGGGGTATTGTCAGGCTCTAGCTACTGAAGAAATGTGACACTTCCCCTGTTTCTGCATTTCGGATGTCTCTTCTGTCGTTGATCTACCAACCAGTGGCTCTCTTCAGAAGATACCGGTTCGCCAACTGGTGTCACTCTCGACCGTCGATCCTGCATCGGGCATCTCCTGAAGCTTCCACGTCGTCGTTCAACGTCCGGCAAGCTTTATCACCTGCTCTTGGTTGTAATGGCTATATAAATCCTCATCTTCCCCTCAATTCAGACTATGCTTATGTAAGTTGGGTCGTAAACTCAGCCGCCAGAGGCATGCTACAGTGACTTCCCCTTTCTCAATATAAATCCTAGCAATTGGGTCGATTTGCTCTGAATTCCCCGTAAGATCCTGTTAGATTCAATGAGTAGCAGGTCGAGTCCTGACAACGACAAACTTAGTGTATTGTTTTTTTCCTTGCTGAAAGGATGAAAACAGAAATGTAAATAGGCACCAAAAGCCACAGCAATGCAAATCTTAGTAAGTAAACATGCTTCTAAAAGTTAGAAATGAATGCTGCATAAATAAAACGGGCCCAGAAGTCAATACAGATGGGAAAGAATAAGGATTCCTCTGGACTTACCTCATTGAGGAAAGGTTCTACCAAACACAACTGAAGCTCGGTTGCTTCATCTGCTATCATGCAAAAGAAACGCTTGAAATTCCCAAGGTGGTAGCATCTACAAAGGAACAAAAGAGATATGCATCATTTCAGTTATTTACAAAAGGGACATGAAAGAAGTTAGTTGTGAATGTGAAATTGGCACTTGTTAGATGTCCACAATCATATAACGGAGATTGAAAAGGAAAAGAAAGCCATGAAGATACTGAACTGAGTTACACGAATAGATATGGGAGCATGCACAAAAAAGGTCATACACAATGAGACATAACATGTGTAAGTTACCTCAATATAGTTCTAGCAAATATCATTTCCTTTGATCGTACTATTGAAGCTGGTAATTGGCTATACCAAAAAGAGAGTGAGTTTGCCTGGAGATAAATAGAAAATTAGGCTAGGGTAACGGAAAGCGTAACGATCATGCATAGGCGAATAACACAAATCAGATATCTAGCGGGCATAAGAATGAAAAACATACCATTTTGGGTATCTTGCAACCCAAATGTAGAAGCACAAAGAAGGAATAATACTCAGCCTCTTTATTGCTTTGGGAATTGATTTTATGAATTGTATGATACATATCAAACAGAGAAAGAAGGCATTTCATCATTTGTTCCGTGTTCAGGTAACACAAGGAAGATGCATCAGAATCCTGGCAAGACCTCGCAAGTCTTTGATGGGACAGAATATGAAACTTTATCTGCAGAAATGGGCAAGCATTAGATAAATGCTGTGAGCAGAATACTATCGTCTACAATTCAGGCAACTATATTCCTCCGGCTGGAAACAGAACTGATGCCAGGAAACATAGCTATGAAAGATAGTACTCCCTCCGTCCGAAAATACTTGTCATCAAAATGGATAAAAAGGGATGTATCTAGAACTAATATACACCTAGATACATCCCCTTTTATTCATTTTGATGACAAGTATTTCCGGACGGAGGTAGTAGCATCTAAAGTACAAAAAAATAACTTCATTGCTAAGGCAAATGAAGAAAATGCATGAGAACTAATCTAAGCATAGTTGGAGAAGGAACATATATTTTTCAAAACAACTCTGGAAAATAAAGAGAATCTAAACAATCATTTGGCTGGATAATGTACTCTATCTGATTCCTTTGCATATGAAAGTTTTGGTAAACAAGGCTAACATTTTAGACGGAAGAAAAGATGGTTGCTCTGTAAGCATTGAACATCTAATTTAAGAAAGATCACACAAAGCAAAAAACTAGTTCCACCTTACCACACCAAAATCAGCTTCTAGGAATAATAATCTAAACTAATCAAAATCTTGTGTTACATAATTGAACATTTGAGCCAAAGTGCCATGAAAACTGGTAAAAGTAACAAGATAAAGATGTGAGGAAGGAATCGAGATTGGACTGTACCACATCCTCATATATGCCAATAGCTTGATCATTCACCAAATTCTGTATACTAAGATCTTGTCTCACAGACCTTGTTCTATCAAATATGAAATCATGAACGATCTCAAATGGGTAATCTGAAGAATTTAGTAAATGCCAAAGATAATCCATCGTTTCTCGTAAGACTGGAAGAGGGCGTATATCTGATGCCTGTATGCCGGTAGACGAGATAGTTCTGCAAAACTAGCAGGAAACCAAGGGTTGGAAGGGGATTAAAAATCACAGACTCCTGCTAATTTTTCTTATTAATAACCTCTTTACATATAATCAACAAAGTCATCCAGAAAACAGAAAAAAGCATAGATAACCAGCCTTGAAGTTTGGGGTTGTAACTTAACTCAGCATTGAGTTCAGGGTTGTGATATGCACTTCCCTCAACAATACTCCCTCCGTAAAGAACTAAACGCTCTTACATTTCTTTACAGAGGGAGTACAAGTCAACTGTGTTACAGGCCCAATCTCAGGAAGATCGCAAATTCAGCCTGTGTGTATTCCGGCAGTGGTTGGACAAAAGGAATGCGGGTCAGGCGTGCGCAGCAATTGTACACAACTAACATAAATAGTCCACTGTTCACCTGCAGCTTATCATTGCCAACACTGATTTTCAGTTAAGCAAAACTTCATGCGAGGCTAAGAGCATCTCTAGCAGACCCCTTAAAACCGCACGGCCCGTAAAATTCCGGCAACTGTATGGGTTTGGCCCCTTTTTTGGGCCAGACCAGAGCCTGCATAGTCGCCCCGGCCCGTAAATCTTTTACAGTGGCCCGGAAACCGCCCCCCTCGCGCAGTATAACTAAGGGTTCGCGGCCGATATACTGGGTCGAACCCTATCCCCACGCCGCCTCAATCCCTCCTCTCCCCTCTTGATTTCTCGCCGCCGGCGACTCCAACCCGCCGCCCAACTCCACCATGTGGCGCGGGATGTGGTCCTCAGGCCGCGGCGCCGGCGATGGGGACGACCTCGAGCGGAAACGGAGCGCCCGGAGGTACCTCAACCAAGGCCTTCAGCCGCCGCCGTCGCTCCTCCGCCGCGAGAAGGAGGAGTACGACCGGAGGCAGGCGTTGCTGTCCTCTGCCGTGGGCAGCTCCTCCGCCGGTGCGTCGAGCTCCCGTACGGCGCTCACGCCGATGAAAAAAGAGCCAGAGGAGCTCCCGCCGCTCCGCGCGGTGAAGAGGGAGCCGGAGCCGGAGCCGAAGCGGCGGGGCGGTGGCATTGTCAGGCCGGAGGATTTCCTCTCCCTGGCGGAGGCGGACGCCTTCGAGGCCGCCATCCTCGCGCGCAGGGCACGGGTGGAGGAGGCAGAGCATCGAGGTCGACGGGACGCCGACCTCAACAAAGTCCTCCTCGATCAGGGGCTCACGAAGGCGCAGGAGTTCGAGGACAACTTGGCGGTATGGCGCCGCGAAGCCAAGGTGCAAGACGACATCTACATCGATCTCGGCTCCGATGACGAGGATTGAGCTCCTCCGCCGCCGCAGCGTTGCCGCCGCACCCGGATGGCTCCAGAGAGCCAAACTTCGGCATTAGGGTTACGGTGGCCGTTGCTCCTCCGATCTAGTTTGTAAAAAATCGACTATGTATGACTTCTGTATGATGATCAAGTAACTATGAACGCTAGTAGTTCTACTGGAGTAGTTCGATTTCTCGCGCGAAGTTTTGATTTCAAAATTTACAGGTTCATTTTAAAGTTTCTGTTCTGCCGCGGCTGTTTCAGCCCGTATCTGAGGCATTGCCGCGAACTGTAAACGCACTTTTAAGGTCCGCGATATAAGGGGTCTGCTAGAGATGCTCTAGCTACCACATGAAACAAAACTAATCTCGCCATTTGCATGGTAGAAACAATCCAAGCACATAAGGACCAAAAGGGACTACCCATAAAGCATCAGGCTGAACCAACAGCATGTATAAATCAGGAATAACCTCCACGCGTATATGGATAATTGGAGATCATGGACGGCTCACCTTCTTGACGGCGAGGGAATGGGACGTGCGCATGGGGTCGCTGCACACACGCTCGAACACGGCCAGATCCCGGAGCCGCTCCCTCTGCGCTCTCTCCGTAGCTGCAACAGAAACATTAGCAACAATGAGTTTTTATTTTTGGAACAGTGGTCGGGCCCAGAAGGTTCTGGACCCGGAGCTTTCGTTAATTTCCAGCAGCTGCAGTACAAATCTCAGACCAGGACTCAAAGGAAAATAAAACTACAGCATAGTCCCTGAAACTTGCAAGGAGGACCCTATCCAGAGAATCAAGATTACAATTGGGTCCAAATGTCAGCTCCAGCACAGATTCAGTCCGGCCATCACCGGGGACAAGACCACTTGGAATCACTGGACCGCCACCACTCCATCTCCGGCCGAAGACGGAAGAGGAAGACTCCATACCGAAGCTGAATAGCTGCCTCCCTAATAGCATCAAGCCTGGAGGAAGAAACGAAGCCAGCGCAGACGCCATGGCTTCACGGGGACGCCATTCGGCCAGAAAGGTCACCGGAGAGGCGGCAGAGACCGGCAGCAACAGTGCGGGGCGTAGCTCCACCCCAGGCACCGATGAGAGTATGCACCAGCCCAATTGGGAGAATCTTGATCCCCACCTCGTCCTCTTTCCTTTCCCATCACAACGACAGCAACAAGAAAACAGGACTAAGCGATGGCCATCCTCCAAATCAGGGACGAGATCGAGCTTATTGAAGAAGCTGGAGTCAGATCCGCCTCCCGCAGCTTCTCTCCACCACGGAGAGCAGCCGGAAAGCGAAGCTGAACGGCGTCCGGCACCGCTCGTAAGCGCCGACGCATTGCTTCTACTCGGCATCACGCCATACCCCACGGAGGGAAGTCTAACCTGGCCCTACACTTAATCCTAGACCTACTGTACAGAGCGGGAACCTGGCATCCTTTCCCAAGCTCGCTCGCGACGGCAGCACCGCCGGAGGAGGAGGGCAAAGGAGCCGGGCGGAGCTTTGCCTGTGCGACTCTCAAGGGAACCCGGTGGGGAGCTTCGGTTCTCCGAACAGGTCAACAGCTCCGTGCAGGCTGAGAGGAATTGGACAAGGATGTTACCCGGGCACATGTCGGGACAGGTGCCCACGATCGGCGGGGCGTCGCTGGGGATGACCGCGGCGGCAGAGGCGGTGGAGGGAGGAGGTTGTGTGGAGGGGCGGCCGCGGTCTTCACATCGGCCCCGCCATCCTCGGCCGCGGGCGTTGCCGCGCGCGTAGCTCCGGCCCCGATTGCCCGCCCCGTCGCGGCGGTCCATGCTCTCGGTTGAGAAGGAGCTTCGCCCCGTGGCCGCGACCTCGGGGATAGTTCGGTAATTTGTCGCCGATGGAAAGGGGACGCGGGCGGAGTGTAAAGCGTGGTTGTGATGGCAGACCAGATACAGATGTAAGGCCAACTCCACCGGGCGACTCCATTTTGTTCGGCCTCATCTGTTTGGGGGTAAAAAGGACAAACCAGACGGTTCAGCGCGCGACGGCCCGGATCCATCTTGTCTGTTTTGTGTCCGGGCCGACCTAATTTGAGCGCAACTTGCGTCTGATTTGGGTCGCGGCGGACGGCAAACGGACGCGCGCTCGTCCGCGTCGGGGCCGCGTGGCAGGCGGCCACATACCTCCCATCTGCCAACATTAATGCACACGGGCGGGTGGCCCCACCTGTCATCCGGCCATTGAACGGTCGCCGTCCTTCTTAAATGGGACCCATGGACCGGTCATCGTCCTCATCACTTCCCACTCCGGCCCCTCTCTGCCCCCTCGAAAGCCAACACGCCCAAACCCTAGCCGCTCCCCATCCTCGAACTCGCCGGCCGGCCGCAGCCATGGGGCTATGGAACTACGGCCGCAAGAGAAGCACGACCGCGAGGCCAGCTCTTCCTCGGGCCGCCGCCACGGCTCCGTGAAGAAGGAGGAGCCAGCGTCACCGCCGCGCTCCTCCCATCGAGCCCCCGCGCCGGCCCCCTTCACCATCGCCCCTAGGCCTGCCGGCGAGCGCGACCGGCAGTACCTCAGCGCGGACGTGTGCCGGCGCTACTGGGAGACGAGGACGCCGGTCCCGTGGAGCGACGTCCACCTCCCCAACAACTGGCACCTCAGCGCCGACCGGGTCCCGATCCCGCCGGTGTCGATGGGCGGCCGTGCGCACCGCGATGAGATCGAGCGCCGCCGCCTCCTCCTCCCGGACGACCTATACTACGATGATAGGTACGCCCCTGATTCCATGCTCTCGGGCATGTGGCTCCAGGACGAGCACGACACGCGTCGCGCGTCCTACTTCGTCGGCACGGTGTCGGGGCCGCGGCGGCCACGTCGAGAGGTGCGCGGGCGTACGCGGGTGCGCGGCCTCACGCCCACGTCGTCGCCTTCCCCGTCTCCGTTACCACCTCCACCTCCTCGCATGACAGCAGAGGAGGAGGCCCGGCTCATGCAGCGTGTCATGGAGGCCTCCATGAACACGCACGACGAGCGCCAATGGGACGGCTTGGAGGAGGCGCTGGCACTCTCTGCCACCGGCGACGTCGCCTTTCTCGAGCTGGAGATGGTGGCCATCAAGGAGAAGGGGAGGAGGGAGGAGGCGATGGAGGAGGAGCCGATGGCCGCGTTCCACCCCAGCCTGGTGGGCCAGCAATGGAGTTGGTCGTGCACCGCGCCGGAGATGGCTGACGTCGTGGGGGGCGTGAACTGGTTCCCCACGCCGCCGCGATCACCGGAGCGGGAGGCCTTGCCATGGGAGGAGGTGGTGCAGGCACCTCCGGCCTTCCAGGCCGCCCCCGTGTACCATGCGTCGTCGTCCCACCTCTGGACGCCACCAGCCTACGTCGACCTCGTCAGCGACGACGATGACACCGGCGGCCACTAAAGACGGCGAGGGTCATGGCATCGACGGGCGCGGCAAGAGCGCGCGGTGGCATTTTTTATTTTCTTTTTATGTTAATTATGGCACTGGGCCATTAAGTGAACTGCTAAATTGGGCCGTTTTTGTGGCCGTGACCCCCCTAACCAAGTTTTATGTTTTTTAAACTGCACTTATTTACTTTTTTAGTCATTTTATTTACGTTTTTCTGTTTTTTTAAATCATGTCCAATGCGGACATGATTTGAGGTGTGGCCGCGTGGTGGGCGCACTCACGACCCAACGGACAGGACCGGACACGGGCGAACCCATCGCCGCCCCAAAGGGCAAAATCCGGCCAAACCGGACGTCCGTTTGAGGTCGTGCGGTGGAGTTGGCCTAAAAATAAGTAGCAAAAGACTCGTGCGTTGCAACGGGAGACAACATTGGCTGCATTGCAATGCGAGAAAAAGAATAATTTCTTTTGTATTCCTAACTTAATAATGTGAATTAAAAGAATGATTTAATTGAATAATGCAAAAAAATGTATGAAGATGCATGGAATAAACGTTAGTACAAGTATTTTATTTTATGAAGAAAAAAAGGAAAAAGTATGTGTTTACCTCCAGCCGGTAGGGCTGTCAACAAAGCTCGGACTCAATGTACTGCTCCATGCTCGATTAACTTATTTTTTGTGGATCATGCTCGATTAACTATATACTCAAATTTGAGTTCAACATGCTTGCCTCCTTCGGTGGCCTGTCCAAAATTCACACTTTCAAGATCAATGCAAGATGGCCATTTTGACTGGTTGATATGTTAAATAGGGAACATGTAGTTTCCAATAGAACATGATGTATTGTGCTCTAAATTTGTATTATTGCTTCATTGGTTGCTTATTTATTGTAAGGGCATATTTCTCCCTATGCGATTTTGGTGATTGATGACAATGCATTTGCGGACTAATCGCGTGCATTGAGTTTTTCAGAGATCTCATGTATAGGCACAAGACGATTTGGTGCCCCTCGGAGTCTATCGAAGACGGCAGTTTTCTACGTTTCTTTTGGGTGAATTTGAGTCATAGGAAAGTTGTACTATTAAGAGGGGGGCCGTTTCGGAAAGGTTAGGGTGGAATCAACAAGTACACATTTGTTCCTTTGCACCACCTTTCCTTCGCTTCATTGAAGCACCGGTTGTTTACCCTTGCCTATGTGAAGATGAAGGCCTCCAAAGTGCTATAGTTTCTGTGGCGTGCGGTAGTACTGCTCAAGGGAGCAGTAGTACCGCAACTGCCCACGGTAGTATCGCCAAGGTACGCGGTAGTACCGCGCTGTGCGGTAGTACCGCTCCTCCTGAGCGGTAGTACCGTGGCCTCCAGCCCAGAACACTGGCATGAGCGAAATTAATTTTTTACTTCCGCGCCCTACGTGGTAGTACCACTCCTCCTGAGCGATAGTACCGTGGCCTCCAGCCCAGAACACTGGCATGAGCGAAAGTAATTTTTTACTTCCGCGCCCTACGTGGTAGTACCACTCCCTGGGAACGGTACTACCGTGCCGGATTTTCGCACAATCTAGATCTCAGCGGAAGTGGCCACGGATGTAATTTTATTAGTCTGTGCCTTCCCAGCCCAGTTGAACCCTACCTTGCGGTAGTACCGCAAGGGCGCGCGGTAGTACCGCTTCGGCGGTTCTATCGCTCGTTGCTATATGCAACAAGGCCTCTTCTGGTCTCTACCGCGTGGGCGGTAGTACCGCACAGGCTAGTGGGAGTACCGCAAGACCTTGCGGTATAGTACCGCGAGCCTGTGCGGTAGTACCGCATGTTGCGGGTTGAATAAGTGGGTAACGGTTGGATCTTTCCTCCCACTATATAAAGGGGGTCTTCTTCCCCAAGTTGACCACCTCTTCCCTCCCCAAGCTTCATTTTTGCCCGATCTCTCTCCCTAGCCAATCAAACTTGTTGATTATCTAGGGATTGGTTGAGAAGGCCCCGATCTACACTTCCACCAAGAGAAATTTGATTCCCCCCACTAATCCCTTGCAGATTTTGTTACTCTTGGGTGTTTGAGCACCCTAGACGGTTGAGGTCACCTCGGAGCCATATTCCATCGTGGTGAAGCTTCGTGCTGTCGGTGGGAGCCTCCAATTAAGTTGAGGAAATAGACCCAACCTTGTTTGTAAAGGTTCGGTCGCCGCCTTCAAGGGCACCAATAGTGGAATCACGGCATCTCGCATTGTGTGAGGGCGTGAGGAGAATACGATGGCCCTAGTGGCTTCTTGGGGAGCATTGTGCCTCCACACCGCTCCAACGGAGACGTACTTCCTCTCAAAGGGAAGGAACTTCGGTAACACATCCTCGTATCCACTGACTCCACTCTTGGTTATCTCTCACATTTACTTGTGCAAGATTATTTTGTGTTGTTTCCTTTGCTTGCTTGTGTGCTTGTTGTTGTTGCATCATATAGGTTGTTCACCTAGTTGCACATCTAGACAACCTACTTTGATGCTAAGTTTAATTTTGTCAAGAAAAGCTAAAAATTGTTAGTTGCCTATTCACCCCCCTCTAGTCAACCATATCGATCCTTTCAATTGGTACCAGAGCCTCGTCTCTTTATTTAAGGACTTTGCCGTCCGAAGAGTATGGTTGACACCACGGACAAAGTGGAGGGTCACCCCGGTGCGAATCCCACTTTGTCCGCGGCCGATGCAGGATCCTCGGTCTCTCGTGAGGAGTTCAATGTGGCTATGGACACATTGAAAACCTCCATGATGGCCGAGGTTGAAGGCATGTTTAAGGAGTTTCTTGATGGACTTAAATTATCCACCGAAGTGGTTGATCCCGCTAACAAGGTGACGGTTGCTAACTCCGAAAAGGGGGAAGCTAGTAACGAGCATGCTCCTATGCCTAGTGGTAGAAGTGGGAGTGGCATCTTTGCCCATGTTGAACCTCCACTTACTTATGGAGGACCGGTTCCCTCCACTCATATGAATCATGTTGGTCCTCCTCCTAAGCTTGTGAAAAATGAGGATTTTGCGTCTTGGGTGTATCGCTTTAAACGTCATTTAAATTAGAGTTCTACTAATCTTTGGAGAATTATTAAGCAAGGTTTCTACCCGCACGACCCAAGCAACTTCACTCCTAGAGAAGCCACAGATCATCAATTCAACGAGTCCGCTCTTTTCATTCTCCAAGAAGCAATCCCTCCCGAAGATATTGCACACCTCCGACCTTTCACCTTGGCCAAGGAAGCATGGAAACATGTTGTTTCCATTTACAAGGGAAGTGCTAGCATTCAACGCTCCAACTTTGAAGTGGTACAAGATGAAGCCGATGAGTTTGTTATGAATGAATATGAAGAACCTCGTGAGCTTTACCGGAGATTAACCACTCTCGCGGTCTCACTCCGAGATCATGGGAGCAAGGATAC